GGGGCGCTCCAGGCGTCGCCTCCCTGCCCCGCGGCAGCTGCACCAGAGGACAGAGGACACATTATTCCCCGGGACAACAGCAGCCCCGGGGGCTGCCGAGTGCCCCCCCAGGACTAGCAGAGGCCGTGCCACCATCCGTCCACCTCCCACCCTCGGGTCTCGGCCCTCCCCACGCACACAGACCCCACGAGGCCCAGGGCCCGGGGGTCTCGGACCACAGTGGGTCGCCTCCTGGCCTCACAGTCTCCACCTGAGACACGGGGAGAGCTGCAGTGGGCCTCCCAGGCCCTCTGCACGCCCGGACCCTCGGGGAAATGCAGAAAAGCCTCAATTCCCTCAACCGGCCCGACATGGCCCGCCACGCCGCTCAGGCCCCCTCCACAGGGATGCCCCAGGAATTAAACCAGGTGCCCCCAACGCTCAGCCCAGCCCAGGCCTCAGCACACGCGACCCACCAGACCCCCACTGCAGCCCCACTGCCCAGATGCGGAAACAGGACCGGAGCACACGCCGGCCGCTGCTCTAAGCCGGGAAAAATATTGGGAAAATGTTTCAGTCTTTGCATTTCGGTCTCTGTCCAACTACTCACCCACCACTGTACTGGGGAAGCGGCCACGGACGAGACACTAACAAACGGGGGTGGCTGTGTGCCAATAAAACTTTATTTACAAACACAAGCTGAGGGCCAGTTTGCCGACCTCCCCTCCAAACAATTCACACGTCTTAACTCACATAATTGTCACCAACACCCTGGGAGGTAGGAATGCTCTTTCCCCCATTTTCCACATGAGGAAACTAAAGCCCAGCGAGCTTCAATGACGTGCCCACGTCACCAACCACATAGCGATGGACCCTGGCTTGGAGGGCATGAGAGGGGGGAGGCCAGGCCTCAGTCTGAACTCTCCGGAGAGGGCAGGACACTAGAGCAGGCTGCAGGGGCTTCCACAGCAGAAACAGGATCTAGGCTACGCAGTCATTCATCCCACAGAACTGCCTGGTGGGGCAGCAAAGTGAGAAGAAGATCCCCTCCAGGGTCCAGGACCCCAGAAATTAGAGGCAAAACCGTGTGTGGAAGAAAAGTTCCCCAAAAGTACTCAGGAGTGTGTGTCGGGGGGGCCCTAACTGCTCCCCCACAGGAGGGTCGAGCTGGTGGACACAGGGGCCGAGGGCACCTCACCTCGCACACTCTGGCACCTCTGGGCCTTTGCACAAGCCGTCCCCTCTGCCCGGGGTGCCCGACTCCACATTCGTGTGGCTGAAATCAGACCCCCCTCCCTTGCCACCTCCCCCCGCCCCTGCCAGAGACCAGCCCTGCCCTCCGTGTCCCGGGGCACCTGGCTGGGCTCTCCCCACAGCCTCACTCATGGCTCAGGGCTCCTGAGACACAAGGTGGTGGTGACACGGTTCCCGTTACCTGCTGCAGGAGACGTCTCCGCTCCCCCAGGGATCTTCCCCGAGACCAAGAAAGGAGACGAGCAGAACAAGAATGAGGCCCGTGCACAGAGACGCTTTGGGGGCCGGGACACCCCAACACTGCCCATCCAACCCGGCAACAGTTCTCAAAAGCGACATTAGCAAAAGGAAGGCTTCCATCCCCAAAGCTGACGGGGCAGGGCAAGGGTTAAATGGCGCAGGGGACAACCGCTAGGAACTGTGGGAAAAAGCTGCTGGAAAGTCCTTCCACTCTCACTGGGCACACGCTGGCGTCTTCTGTGGCTTCAGCTTTAGCTTTCATTCTCACCAAAAACACACAAGCTTCCTGTCGCACTGAGGAACAGACAACCGTGCTCCGTCCACACACCGGAACACGGTTCCAGCATGAAGAGGGAGGCGGCGCTGACGCACGCTACGGCGTGGACGAACCTTAAGACGTGATGGGGGTGAGAGAAGCCGACACAAGAGGCCACGCGCGTGTGATCCCGCTGATGCGAAACGTGCGGAAGAGGCAAATTCACACAGAAAGCAGACTCGTGGTGGCCAGGGACTGGGGGAGGGGGTTGGGGAGTAAGTGCTGATGGGGACGGGTTTCCCTTGGGTGATGAGAATGTTCTGGAACTAGTAGAGGTGGTGGTTGCACAACACTGCGAATGTACCAAATGCCACTGAATTGACCACTTTAACACGGTTAATTTCACCTCAACTTAAACAGAAGATGTACACCCAGGGGGCAGAGGGCGCTTCCTCTGTGCTGGGTTTTCCAGGAATGGGACCGAGGAGCTCGGCCACTGGGCCTCCAGATGGTTCTCTCGACGGCCACTGGCCTTCATTTCAGCCCAAACCCGCAGGAGGAAAACAACCAACCGACACCCCCGCCCGTCACCAGGTGGCGGTTGGCATGGTTCACCCCGTCACAGGCCCTCGGTGTAGAGATTCAGGCCAGCGTGGAAAAGAAAAACTCATGATGCAAAATTAAGACACAGAGGCAGCAAAAGCCTGGGGCTGGAGAGGGTCCCCGAGGCTCCCTCAGGCCCTGCCACCACCCTGCTCCAGGAAGGGGCCCCAGTCACAATGACATGTTCCAGGACGGGCACGGGCCCCCTCAAAGGCAAAGAGGAAAACAGCTTTGGGCTAGAAATGTGGAGACAGGGTACGCTCTCTCTTTGCTAGCCTTGATCGTGCAAAGAGGAAGGCCTGGAGTCCTGCCTTCCTGTTAACCCACCAAGACCACGCGGAAAATGGCAGAGCCAAGAGGTGGACAGACCCATTTGCAACAACATGGATGGACCTGGAGGGTATTATGTTAAGTAAAATGAGCCAGAAAGAGAAAGACAAACAAGGCACAATTTCATTCATATGTGGAAGATAAACCAACACGCACAGACAGAACTGTTTGGTGGTTACCAGGGGCTAGGGGGGTGGGGGGTGGGCACAAGGGGTGGAGGAATGCACTTATATGGTGACTGACAAACAATAACGTACAACAAAAATTTCACAATAAAATAAATAACTAAATAAATAAAAGAGGTGGACAGAGATAGGGACCTGATGACATCATGTCACCCGGGTCAAGCTGTGCCTGAAGCCAACAACTCCCTGGATTTCAGTTATATGAGCCAGGACTCGTGTTTAAGCCAGTCTGACATGGGTCTCCTGTCCCTTTCAGCTAACAAAGGGTCTTTCAGAAATGGTGCTGTTGGTGACGACTCTAAAGTCCCCTCAAACAAAGTTTGGTGAATTCCAAAGGAACCCCTGATGCCACGGGACTCCAGAGGCTCAGGGGCAGGGAAGCATCACAAAACAACATTTTTGTATGAAAAAAGAACACAGCCGGGGGCAGGGGGGACTGTAAAAAATCCTGTCGAATCCCTGTCTCTCGCATCCGGCTGAATTCCACACAGTGGATGCAAAACACACCTGAACACTTTCAGAGCTGTTTCCCCGGCTCCCTCCCCGACCCGAAATCTGCTCACACCTTACAAGTGCACTTAACAGCCTGGAGCAACTACAGCAGTCGGTCCAGCCAGGCCCCTACGCTGGGCTCAGGACTCCCCCGCACCCCCGGGGCCCAGGAAGAGCAGAGAGAGACAGATGGACAGACAGACAGACAGAGAGACAGAGAGAGAGACAGACAGACAGAGAAAGACCGCGGAGGGAGAGGGAGCTCCCCAGGGAGGCGCAGGAGGGAGGGACAAGTAGGGGTCACAGAGCCCCGTGAGGCATGGAGACCCCACAAGGCCCGAGCCCCGCTCCTGGACAGCAGGCTGGGGGCACCAGAGGCCTGATGCAGGCTCGCCAGCGACACCCCTCGGGCAGAACCAGACATGAGCACAAGGGCTGGGCGCACCAGGGGCTCTGATCCCGAAGGGAGGAAACCAGGCGCCCCCCCAGCAGGCCCTCAGCACGGCCCCGTACCCCCTTCACACGCATCCCCCCCCATCCACCCAAGATCCCTGCAGGGACAGCTTTTCAAAGGGCACCGTCCCTCCCAGGAGGCTGAGCAGCAGGAGACGAGGAGAAGACAGACAGGTGCTAAGGGGGGACGGCAGGCCCAGGAGAAGGGAGGCTAACGGGGGGACGGCAGGCCCGGGAGGAAGGAGGCTAACGGGGGGACGGCAGGCCTGGGAGGAGGGAGGCTAACGGGGGGATGGCAGGCCCGGGAGGAGAGAGGCTAACGGGGGCACGGCAGGCCCGGGAGGAGGGAGGTGGGCGGCACACTGGGGGGACCACAGGAGACGTCTGAGCAGGACGGCCTGGTGGGCAGGGCTGCAGACCCGGGCTGCCTGGGCTTCAGGGCCACCCCCACTTCCCAGTGACGAGGGCCAGTGACTTCTACTCTCAGCCCGGGGCCCCCTCTGTAAAAGGGGGTGCAGACGGGGCTTCACTGAGCCGAGAAGACAGGGGAATGACACTTGTGTTTCACATAGTACCCGGCACGCAGTCAGTGCTCACTTAACGTCAACTGTGGTCAGCACCACCACCACAGGGATGCCCCTTTCATGCCAGCCCCCCAATGAAGGACCTGCCTTGGCCTGAAATCCCACCGTTCAACCCCATCTGGCGTCAGGCAGAGAGGAGGATCCAGCAGGCCCGAGTGGGCCACTTCCCTCCCTGGCCTGGCTCCCAGTCGCCACCCCCAGCAGTGCTGCAGTGAGATGCGCGCTGACCTCACCCAGCAGCCGGGAGGCTGAAAATGAGCTCATGTGTGTCCCGCGGTGTGAAGGAGCCTGAGGGGCTGCTCAGCGCAGGCGCAAGGAGCATCCATCACGCAGCCGCCTGCCAAGGACGAGCACGTCACCTGGCCCCCAGCCCCGCCCCACCCCAGGCAGTGACAGTGACATATAGCTCGGGTGACCCTGGGGGACAGAGCATCTGGGCCACTGGCTGCGATCCCTCCATCGGCCCCTCAGTCGCCTTCCTCCGTGTAAAATGGAGCCGAAACAAGCCTGCAGACTCGACTGTCCTGAGGTTCACTGAGACGGCAGGAGAAGCAAACCACAGGCGCTTAATCTATGCACATTCTCCCGACACCGTCTCAGCTCAACCTTCCGGTTTAAAGTGGAGTAAAATGAAAGCCCTCTAAGGCGCGAGGGCCATGGTGGCCCCACAGGCTGGACACACTCGGGCGGAAGCCGTCTCTCTCCAGCCAAGAAACGGTCCCCAGAGCCGGCCGCCTCCCCAGCCCCTCCTGTGGCTGGCCAGCCTCTGCCCGCCCCGCGCTCGGTCCCACCTCCCTGCCTTTGCCCCAGCTGTCCCCCACCCGGCACAGCCACCCCGTTCCCTGTACCCAGTGCGGTCACAGCAGCACCCGAATCCTCGGAGGAGCCCCCGATGGCGCCAGGCCTTACCTTGGCCAGGTCCTCGGAGCCACCGGGCTGGCCTGCAGCCAGCAGGCCTGAGGGCCGCAGCAGGGGGTCGGGCAGCAGCTCCAGCCGGGGGCGCTTGCTCTCGATGAAGTCCATCTCCGACTTGCCCAGCTCAGGCAGGTACGCGTGGGACTCGGGTCGCAGGTGAAGCTCCTGGGACCTGCGGGAGGCACAGGCACCGGGGGTCACGTCCACTGCCTTCCCGCCCTCTCGCCGAGCCCTACTGTGCACCATGCCTGCTGCGGCCCCACGAGAGCAGAGCCCGTCATCCACGGGCACAGAGCCAGGCAGGACCCACGCAGACCCGTCCTCCTTCAAGGCGACGTTCTCAACTACGTGCACAGGAAGAGACTGTGCTGCTGACGCCCCACTGCCCACCCCGAGTGTGGCCGCAGGACCAGCAGCATCAGTGCCGCCCGGAGCTGGTGACAAATGCAGCATCTTGAGTCCTACCCCAGACCTCCTGAGTCCCACTCTGCACTTAAACAAGATCCCAGGTGATTCGTGGGCACAGTCAGGTCCTCTCTGGGTCCAACACAGATAATCACACACGCTGCTATCTGCACATCACCCACCGGGGCAGACATCACTAGCCGATCACAGTGCTCTTACTGCTAAACCCGGCCTCGCGCCCTCCTCATGGGAGCTGTCCAGCCTGATCGCTCCCAACTGGCTCTTCTCAACACTCCTCCCCAGTGTGCAGAGGAGAAAACCGGCCCAGAGAGGACACGGCCTTGCCCGAGCACACACAGCAGAGCCAGGACCCCCAGCCTCCACTGCCAGCTACACTCCTGACCAGAAAGCCCAAACACTGCCCTGCTGGACGCTCTTCAGGTTGATGCTTTTTCCAGTAAACTTAGAATAGGATCTGACTGAACCATTCCCCTCACCCTCACACCCTGCCCGGTCTGGCCCACCGCATTCCTGCCTCAGGGCCTTTGCCCATGCCGGGCATCCGGCTGGAACACTTGCACCAGCTCCTCCCATGCTTCCTCTTCTCCGCACGTCTCAGTGCCCACGGTGCCTCCTCCTCAGAGCGCTCTCCCCACCCACCAGCCACAGCCCATCTCACCACCTGCTCTCTTTTCCTTTCAGCCCCCACCATGTGCTTATTGGTTCACGCGTGTTCGCTGGCTGCCTCCCTGCCCCCACCCCACCCCAGAATGTCCACTCCAGGAGGGAAGGACATTCACCTGTCTTGTTCATTGCTTGTTCATTCCCTGGCACACAGCAGGTGCTCAATCAGTGCGTGTAGGCTGAATGAATGCTGCCGACTGCCATGTGGGCCGGGCCGTGCTGCTGGCATCGCCTGGGGGCAGGGCTGCCACCCTCTGTGCTCCCCCTCCCTGCAGGGCCCTCCAGCCCTTCTCCTGCCAAAGGGTCACGAGACGTCCCTTCTGCCCATCTCAGAACTAACAGCTGCACAGTTACCAGGGGCCTCGCGGGAAGCACGTGGTTTTCTCATTTAAACGTGATTCATGTCCACTCGGAACCTCAGAGTGTGACTTTATTTGGAGACGGGGGCTTTGCAGATGTAATTAAGCTGAGACCCTAAATCCAATGACAGGTGTCCTTCTAAGAGGAGCAGAGGACACTCGGACACACAGAGGGGACGGCCAGGGAGATGGGCAGAGACTTCCGGGCCTTTGCACCTGCTGCTCCCTCTGCCTGAATGCCTTCACCCGGCTCTCCGCACGGCCGGCTACTTATCAGGCCGGCGCCTCTCCACCGAGAGGCCTCTCCTGGCCACTCCGGCCAGACAGTGGCCCTTCCCACCCTGGACGTGACAGGTCACTCGCCTCGTTCTAGAGCCACCGTGTGTGTGTGCCTGTGGTGCGTCTCCCGATGGACAGTGGGCTCCCCGCGGGCAGGGCCATCTGTCTAGGGCCCCGCTGAGCACCCACAGCCCAGACCCTGCCGGCACACATCAGATGCTCCGGACTCTTAGAATTAGCGCTCTCATTGTCTCGAGCACCTTGCGGCCCTGCTCCGGCCTCGGCCCTCCCCTCACTGGGTCCCCACCCTGCCACACCGGCTCATCCCATAGGGATTTAAGGAAAGCTAGGCTGGCCTAGTAGCGGGCGGACACCAGAGGGCCCCGCCTGCCAGCTGAGGGGCAGAAAAAGGACTCGGAGAACAGGCGAGGACAAGGGAGGGAAGGAAGGGGCTCCCCGGGGCACCCAGGTAAGGACACGTCCCTCCCACCGTGACCCGGCCCTGCTCCCCCACATCCGGGTGGTCACCCTCCACACCCCCAGAGACCACCGCAGGCCCACGCCGGGAGTCTGAGAGCCGTGTCCCTCTTCCCTCACGTCCCCATCCTTGTCCCCGTCAGGGCCACACCAGGACAAGGGCAGACGCACAGCCCGGCACCCCTCATACGACACGACCCTGCAGGCTCCCACTCCCCCACGACCTCCGTTTCCCCATCTGAGAAACGGCTCCGCGGGCCTGGGCAGGAGGCTGCGGCCGGCTCACCTCTCATTCCCGGGCTGGAACTCGGACAGCAGCGAGGGCCTCCTCCTCTGCGGCTGGATGATGGAGCCAGGCGACAGGTGCGAGGCGTAGTCTCGGGGGTGGTGCTGGTACTCAAGCAGCCCCACGTCCTGTGGGGAGGGGACAGACATGAGGGGGCCGCCCCGGGACAGCCACGGCCACCGTCCAGAGCCCCTGCCCACGGCTCGCTCCTGCGCCGGGCCCGTGCCACAGCTCGGGCCTTCCCGGGCTGTCCCCACCGAGAGGGGCGCACACAGCTGAACACCGCACGCAGTCCTGCCCCCGCAGGCTCCCGGCGCCCGGCGATTGTGCCCACTGTCCAGAGGAGACCACCAAACCCACGTGTCCTCGGAGACAACTGGAAAAAAGGCACAGCCACCTCATCCACCAAGGCAGTAAGTGACCAAGTGTCCACGTGGACGTCACACAGCAGGGGAGGCGGCCAACGCGACGGTCCATGAGGACCAAGGACCACGCTCCACACAGAGGAGACGCCCAGGCAGGTTCGTCACGTCCACGAGCACAGGTCACAGTCAGAGGGATAAAGTCCAGGCGAAACACGCCCACTCGGGTAAAACCCATCCATCGTCCATCACCGTCCAGGGGAAACTCGACATTAACAAATCAGACGTACCCCAACTGCCTACTACACCCTGACTTGAGAAACAGCAAAATGTTCGGGAAAAAAAAAACAGAGACAAGTCTTTCAAACGAGAAAACAGGACAGGCTCACCTGGGGAACCAATCCAAACCGATTAGTTCTGTCTGCCTAGAACACTGCGCACATGGCGTGTGGCAATTGATTAGTGATGTCTGATTCAGGTGAGGCTTAGGAGGGAGCAGGATTGCAGGTGACTTATTTTCTTCTTGGCACCTTCCTTAATTCTCCAAATTTTCCCATAAAAATTTAGTCATTCTTTTGCTGTCTGGCTTTTTTTGTTTTTTTTTTGTGAGGAAGATCAGCCCTGAGCTAACATCTGATGCCAATCCTCCTCTTTTTTTGCTGAGGAAGATTGGCCCTGGGCCAAGATCCGTGCCCATTTTCTTCCACTTTATATGGGATGCCGCCACATCATGGCTTGCCAAGTGGTACGTCGGTGCGTGCCCGGGATCCGAACTGGCGAACCCCAGGCCGCCGCAGCGAAGCACACACACTTAACCGCTACGCCACCGGACCGGCCCCCTTATTTATTTTTTTTAAGGAGTTATTTCTGCAAAGAGAATTAGATGATACCAGGCAAGTGTGTGGGAAGGTACCTGTTTCACACTCTCCAAAGCACACACGTAAGAGGCTGGGAGGCCAGAGGCTAGAGAGGACGAGTAACTGGAACCAGCAGGGACCCACCGACCCCAGAGGCTGGAAACACTGAGGGAAGGGCCTTCCCAGGCAGCCCAACTCGGAGACAAAGAGCTGAGGGCCTCAGGCGGGACGTATCTGTCCATCACTCAAACCCTCTGGGCCTCAGTTTCCCCATCTTTGAAATGGATGCCTGACCCAGAGGGAAGGAGGCCTCCCCGCCTCCTACCACTGATCCCCCTTAACTCTCCAGGGACTCCCCCAAAGCCGAGGGCAGCTTCCAGAAGGCAGAGACGGGCTGAAGTCTAGAAGCAAGCGCCAGGCACCAGGTGCTCAGAAGCGGGGCGGGAAGGAGACAGGGCTGGCGGGAGGGAGGGGTCCTCCGGGACCATGCTGCCAGCCGCCAGGCAGGATGCACTCCGCGCACGTGCACGGAGGTGTGAGGAGAGACCAGCAGGCCGTGCAGATTCCGGGGGGAGAACGCCCCCCCACCGGCTCTTCCGCACAAAAGCCAGGCTTTACCACACGGTCCACTCCCTGGGGGGAGCCTCGGAGACGGGGCCACCACTGCCAGCCGGGGCGGGAGGAGGCTCGGGGCACAAGGCCTGCAGTGGGGCGTGGGGAGAGTGCACCAACACTCTGGCCTCGGTTTCCCAGTTTAGCAGCCAAGTGGGATGAGCTCGTCAGCAAAGTCCCTCCACGGAGCGCCCTGGCGGCCATTTCCGTGGGGTCCACACGAACCGCCACCCCAAGGCGGAGGCCGGGGACCCCAAGGGCGCCTGGAAGCTGCACAAGGAGGCAAGAATTGTGGGGGACAGAGAGAAACTGACCCAGGTGGGGGCCAGGGTGGTCACATGAGCACGAATGCACCAGGCACCCAGGCTGGAGAGCTCCCCGCCACATCTCAGAGCCTGAGAACTCTCCACGCGCTAACAACACATTAATTATAGTATAAAAATAACAGTATCCGATATTCATAAACTGCCTATTGTGTGCACCTGCCACTAAATGCTGTATATATTAATTTCACCCCCACAGCAACCCCACGAGGTGGGTATTATGGGTGGCCCCACACCAAAGTGAGAAATCAGAGGCACAGAGAGGGTAAGGGACTTGCCCAGGTCACACAGCAACAAGGAGGAAGGTTCTGAGATGCACGAGGAGGCTAAGCCGGCTTCCTGCGGAGGGACGGGAGGGGCAGGCCGCGGGTTCTGAACCTGCCCCACGGGCCACGGTGCAAACTCTGCTTGGGGAGCAGGAGCTGGCCCTGCGCCCTGCACGTATTCCCAGAGTTGCTGCTCGGAGAAGGAGGGAAGAAGCGTCTCCAGGGGCACCACACACACAGCCTTGGCAGCTTCTCCCCAAAGCTGAAATCGGGGCTTGCTGATAAATTACACCCTAAAACTCCCCGGGCAGTGACAGGTGGCTGTGGAAAAGCAATTTACCCAGGAGGAGACCAGCCGGCGCCTCCCTGGCTGGGTCCTGTGGGGCCACAAAGACAGAGGGGCCGGGGCTTCTGGGCCTCGAGTCACATGCTGCACCCGGATCCTGGGGATGTTTGTGCACGGGGCTGGGGGGGGGGGTTTTCCTCGGTGGCTGTAGGAGGAGAAGGGGTGTTCCTCATGCGGAACTCAGTTTGACCCTGGCCTCATGGGTCCCTCCTGGAGTGGCAGGGCCATGGTCAAGAGAGCTCCCACCTCGGGGCCTTTGCACGTGCCATTTCCTCTGCCTGGAACGTTCTTGAGCCAGATTTCCCCATGCCTGGCCCTCTGGCTTCCTTCAGGTTCGACTCCAACTTCGGCTTCTCGGTGAGGCCTCCTTCCCTGACCCCGGACTCCAGTGAGGACTCCCCAGCCTCAGCCATCCCTCCTCCCGTCTGCTCAGCGTCCCCCAGGGAAACATCAGCTCCCCGAGGCAGGGATGCTTCTGCTCCGTTCACAGCCACACTCCCGGGCCTACAAGGGCACCGGGACGGGAGATGCCTATTAAGTGTCTGCTGAATGAATGAACGAGTGAATGAATGAATGATGCTCCCAGCAAGGGGTCTCCCAACAGGCTCTCTCTGGAGGCCAAACCATCCCTCCGGAGGCATCTGCAAGCGCCTGGAACTGAGCGCAGGAGGGGCCTCAAAGCCAAGGCAGAGACCACCCCGGGGAACATCCAGGATACGGGCCAAGCCCCTGACACTCCAATCGCCCGGTCCTGCGCCGTCCCCCACCACACAAACACACACGTCCCCTCTGGCCCAGAAGGCTCCTGGGCCCGTGACCCTTGGCCCAGGGCAGCACTGGTCCACGTGAGGTCCACGACGTCGCCGGCCCGCGACAAGGTGGGCGCAGAGGACGCAAGCATTAGACCCTCGAGAGGGCACTGACACGACAGTGACATCCAAGTGAACGGCCAGCACGCATCCTACCGGCCTCGGCCCAGACCAGTCCCCACGTCTGTGAACTGGGTCACACGCAGTAGGACCACGTATCAGTTTGTGACAAACTGGAAATTACACAGACCCGCCGTTCCCACCGGGAGTCTGATAAGCGCTGATCTGGGGCAGGAGCAGCAAACCAGGCCCGGCCGGTTCTCAGCGTCACCAGCCACAGCCACGGCCACTGCACGTCCTGGCTGAGCGGCTGTCACGCCGGGCAGTTGTGACAGAGACCACATGGCTGGAAAGCTGAAACATTTACAGAGAAGGTCTGCCAACCACCCTCTAGAGAAAACGCCCAGCGTACCCTGGGGGCGAAACGGGAAAGGATGCTAATGGCTATGTTGTCCCCAGAACAGCAACCACATCATCACCATCACCATCACCACCATCCCCATCGTCACCATCACACTGTATCAGCTCTGTCCAGGCGTCGTGCGGACACCCGTGCACACATCAACTCATCTGAACCTCACAATCTTATAACTACCCTCACTCAGCCAATGGGGAAACCGAGGCCAGGGGTGGTGAGGCCACTTGTCCAGTTTCACAGCTAGGACATCACTGAAGCAGGACGTGAACGCAAGCGGTCTGGCTCCAGAGCCTGCTCTCAACTGCCCTTCTGCACTGAGGCACAGAGAGGTTAAGTAACTTGCCCAAGGCCACACGGCAGGAAGCAGCAGCGCTGGGACTCAGACCCTGCGTCTCCTGACGTGAACACATTCGTTCAGCACAGGGCTGTGGGAGCTCAGCAGACCTCGGGGGCCCGGGGACCTGGGGAGAAGACAGAACGGAGCTGGGCCGCAGGAAGCCCGAAAGGACGCAGGGAGGGAGCGTGTGTCGGGACCTCAATGCTGGGAGACCCTCAGAGAGAGACGTGGGGGGTCCTGAGGCTGTGGGGCGGGGGGAGCCGAGACCGCGGAGACGGAGAGAACAGGGCAGCGATTCCGTAGCGGGAGCAGGCAGGATTCAAGGAGCGATGGGCACTGCCGACGTCGAGAGCTCGGCGCGTCGGAGGCCGGGTCAGGGGACGCGGGTCCAGGGCCTCGGGGTCCAGGCCTCCATCCGCACGCCTCCCGTCTGTGTCGGCCGTAACACGAGCCTGGAGACGACGCAGGCCAAGGCACGGCCCGCACCACCCCACAGCCCCTCTCATAGTCCGGGGTCCTGCAGTCCCGGGGGGAAGAGGCCCCCCTCCAGCCTCCTGCCACCCCGCGCACCTCACAAACATCCCCACCAACGCTCAGCCCCACGACGCCCACACGGCAGACGGGAAAACAGGCTGGCCCCCGGGGTTAAGTGAGCCGCCCGCTGTCACCCAGCAAGTGGGGAGGAACAGGGATTCAAACCCACATCTGGGGGTCTTCCGGGCTCTGGGGGGACTCGCCATCAAAGCAGCCCTGTGTGCAGGGCACCCCAGGAGGGGCCTCCAGGGCCAGGAGGTGCCACCCAGGGAGGCAAGCCTGTGGGGAGCGTGTGTGGAGTGCGCCGAGTCCCGGGCAGGTCACAGGTCACTAGGGCCAGGCCCCGACCCCCTTCCCCGCAGACCTGCCTCAGCCGCTGTTGCAGGAGCCGGGACTCCTGGGATCCCACTCCTGGATGGGGCATTGTCTTTCTGTGCCTCAGTTTCCCCTTTCCTCCACCCTCTGTCTTCCGAAGACTCAGAAATGGGGACAGCTCACAAACCGTGCTCTGTCTGTAGGGTGGGCTGGTGGGAAGGGATTAGGGCACACGGGGCCGTCAGCGCAGGGAGGGGCCTCCAGACGACAGACCCCAGCGCTCACTTCCCGCCAGCCAAGGGAAAGCGGCTCCAGCCCTCCACACGCCCAGGAGAGCAAGACTCCCCGGGAGGCCCAGAACGCTTGCTCCGCCTTCCAAGTAACAAGCAGGGGCTCCGGCTGGGCGCCCCAGCATGAGGCGGGGTGGTCAGAGAGTGGGGCCACTGCTGCCACCACCCAGGACGGGGACGCCGCGCCCCGCAGGTGCCCAGGGCCCCCGCCCACCCCGGCCTCAGCCTCCTGCCTGGAGGGGCGTAACCACTGGGCCCTGTGCAACCACATCCTGCATCACTGAGGGCCCCGTGGGGGAAGAGTGGGCGGTGTCTGGGGTCAGCCAGTGACCCCAAGTGACCAGGAGAGGGCCCAGCGGGGGCAAAGGGCAGGCGGGACGGTAGGGGCTATGGGGGCTGGAGGCTGGGTCCTCGGAGAAGGAGGTGGGAGAGGGGTGTGAGCCGGGAGAGGGGACGAGAAACAGGACAGACGCCAGCGGCATCCGCCAGGGCCCCAGGGAAGCGGCCCCTCCAGACAGCCGCAGTGCAGCGACAATGACCAGTAATAATAACAGCCAACGGACACAGCGGGCTGAGTGTGCGCCAGGCTCTCCCATGAGGACGTGACGCAGATCGCCATGCTAATCCCCACGGGATCTAGGAGACGGGCGCTCTCGTCACCCCATTTCATGGATGAAGAACTGAGGCTCAGAGACGTGAAGCAACTTGTCTCGGTTCCTCTCCTGCAACAAGTCCCCATCTGCAGAGTGGGGAGCACAGCGTCCCCACTCGGGATGACGAGCAGCTTGTGCAATTGCACAAAAGGCTCTGAACCCACACTCGCCCTGCAGCAGCTGTGGAAGGGAGGCTCTGATTCCTCTCGTTGCTGGTGATCATAATAAAGATGACCATACAGCATAACAACTCGCCCCAGGAGCATATTCCTCCGCCCCGGGCACACAGTAGGTGCCCAATAAATAGAGGCCTCCGCGACACGGCGGCTCAGACCCTGAGGCTGATGTAGACGGCTTCTCCCAGTGACTCAACCACCCGGCCTGAGTCCCTCGTCTGCAAAATGGGACGGCACCATGAGACCCCCTTACGCTGGGCTATTGGTGAGAACTGGAGACTCCGCCCAGGGGAAAGTCCTGGTCACAGGGCCCATTAACGCCCCGAGCATCCCAGCTGCTCTGAGAGCGCTGGGGCCAAGTCCTCGGGAGGCCACTGTGACGGGACACCCCCAGGCTGGGCCATCGGGTTCATATGCAAAAATGCCTCGCTCACTGATGGAAATGCCCTCCCACGCCATTTCCTCTGTGCTCACGGGGAGGGACCGTGCCAGACAAGCAGGACAGACGCCCCAACACGCGCACACACACAGGCGCGCACACACAGGCGCGCACACACAGGCGCGCACACACAGGCGCGCACACACACAGGCGCAGAGCCAGCTTCTGCCCCACTGTGCCTGCGAGGCCTCACGCCCTCTCACCGAGCAGCCAAGAGGTCAAATGGGGGAGGCCCAGAACCCCGAGAGCCCTCTGGCAGGCACCCGAGGACACGGTATACAGCAGGTACCCAATAAATGCCAACAGAGCAGAACCAAAGGCCCATCCTCAGGGCCACACCATGCAGCTAGAGGTGAAGGCAGGAAACGGGGCCCCGCTGGAAGGCGGACGGTGGGTGCAGCCTCGGAGAGCTGACTGGGGGCACCCATGTGTGGGGCCGGCACCCAGAGAGCACGCCTGCTCCCCCAGGGGCAGGTCACCCCTGCAGCAGAACCCACCCTGGACCCCCAGTCGGGGATTCAGGGACACGACATGCGCCGGGCCTCAGCGTCTCAGGGCCGCGAGCATCGCCAGGGGAACAAGCTCCAGGGCCGAGGACCGGGCCGGGGCGGGACTGCGAACAGTGGTCCCCAGGAAGCCCCCCAATCCTAAAGCAAGGAGGGAGCCGAGGCGAGGCTGGGCTGAGAGGAGAGTGTATACAGCGGGCACTCCATGTTTGCATGCAAATTCCACCCACAATTCCGAGAGGCAGAGACGCCAGCTCAGCCCAGCCCTGGTCTCCATCTTCCCAGCTTTGAACTAAGAGATTCCTCCAGACGCCCCAGGGCCTGGGAAGGCCCCAGGCGCCAGTGGTCTCTGCCGAGGCAGCCCCCTCCCCTCGGGGGACACAGTGAGCCCCACCTGCCCGGCTCTGAGGAGAAAAGGACCAGAGCCGGGGCTTGAGGACAGAAGAAGGCCCCAAAGGTGACCCCAACACAGGCGTGCCCCTTACCGTGTGGGGCCGGGCAATCTGCACGGGGTAGGAGATGCCGTGGGGCGGGTAGCGGGGCTCGGTGGCCCTCCACGTCTGTGCCACGGGCTGCGTGGATCCCGACATGGCGGTGGGCGTCAGGGGGGCTCTTGGGCCCCAGTAAGCTTCCTCTCAGTGGCCACCAAGGTTAAAGTCCAGTGGTCGTCATCTGCTGGCAGGCCGCCCTGTCACAGGCACCTGTGAGGAAACCAGACAGGAAAGCACGGTCAGCCACGGGCAGCGGCTCCCCGTGGGCCCCGGTGGGGCCAAGGCCTTCCCTTGGCCCCGTGAGGAGGAGCCGGCACACGGGGTCCTCTGGGGCCTCCTCCTGCCGCTGGGTTGCTCCCCGCTGACAGCAGAGGGAGAATGCGGTGGGCGTCTGTGGACCCTCTGAGCCTCAGACCAGGCCACACAGGCCACACTGGGAGAGCCGTGCCCGCCCCACCACCAAGGCCCCCACTCAGCAGGCACAGGAACCCCAACTCTGTGGGCGGCACCCCCCAAAGTCTCCCAAGCCCCCTCGGCCCACCCAACCTCACCCCAAGGCCTCTGTGGGTTTTGGAGACATGGGGCAAAGTTCTCCCAAAGCACCTGGCAGCCCTGGCAGGCCGGTGCCAGGCCTGTCCTGAGAGGCAGGGTGGGGCAGTGGAGGACAGGGTCAGCTCGGGCAGAGCACAGGTCACAGCACGACCCGGGCAAGGCCAGGCCTGCCTGGGCCTCCCAGTGACCCTCTGCAGGCAGGTGACACTGTGACGTGGGAGCAGAACAGACGTGACGTTGGCGCAGACATGGGCTGGGAGTGGAGGGAGTGGGACGCCGAGGGCCACACTGGGGAACCGGCCGAGGACACAGACAAGAGCCGGCTGGGCCCCAGATGGCTCCCGGGGGCAGGCACGTGGTGCCTTCCAGGGCAGAGACCACCGTGTCCACGCTGAAAAGAACCTAGAAACAGTCCAATGGCTTTACAGACGGGGAAACTGAGACCCAGAAGGAAGAATGGACTCAAGCCAAGGGAGCAGAGGCGCCCGCGGCGGACGCTGCCTCCACCCAGAAATCCCTGGCCCCCCCCCCCAGGACCCTCTGCCTTCTCTGCTGGCCACTCTCCATTCGCCTGCCTGGGCGCAGCACCGGCTCCTCTGCCCGTGGCCGGATGGAGAGCCCGGCACCCCCAGCCTCCTCCACACTCAGCCACTCAGAGAAGGCGTGTCCATCCAGCCCCGCCACGTGCAAAGCCATCCCCCGGTCACCCCCCAGCTGAGGAAATCCAAGATGGTGCGGGGCCCGGCTCTGGGTGTCCCCACGCGACGGTGAGGGCGGCATCTCACGTGATCGGGTGAAGAGAACGTACCCCGGCCCCTGTGATTTCAACCCGACGGCCCTCATCGCCCCGCCTGCCAGCTGACAACTGTCCTCCAGTGGGGAGGACGCCCTGGACCCTCCACTGGGGATCTGCCCCTTGGGCGTCTAATGTGGGGGGATGTTGGAGGGAAGCCTAAGATCCAGGTGACCAGAGGAAGAATGGGGCACCAACTGCACCCTACTCCCTACCTCCACCTTCTGCTACTGTACACTTGACCTTCCTTTCCAGAACCATCCTCCTTCCCCAGGCTCCAGGAGAGGTCATGTGATCCAGGCCTGGCCAATCAGGCCCCTGCCTCCCCTGGGCCAGTGACTGGTTCTTGGATAGACATGTGAGCCAATCTGAGCCAATGAGAGTCCGCCTTGAGACTTGCTGGAGGAACCACAGTACAGGCGCTCTCTACTGGGGCTCTAAGCTGGGAGGGCGAAGCCTGGATCTCTCGGGGCCACCAAGTGGCAGGAGCCTGGCGGAGACCATGCCCACTGGCAGGAAGGCAGAGCCGGAGAGAGCGCAGTCGGCCCCTGATGACAGCCATGCCTGAAGGCTGATCAAGCCTGCGTGTTCCTTTAGGGGAGCCGAGGCGCTCCTTCTGGGCGTTCTGCCTTCACCAGCCCAAGCTGGGTTCCTGTCACTTGCCACCAAAGTTCTGACTCACCAGGAGAGGAAGGAGTCATGGAGGGGGCAATCCCTCAGTTGGGTGCTGTCAATCCTTCCCCCACAAAAAGGCAGGGAATTCCAGAGCCAAGGCTGACGCACCTATGACCCCTCAGGAAGTTGCCCATGGGGACTTTTCCCAGCCACCCAGCAGGACGTACGTGTAATTCCTACGAACGTGGGAACAGGTCCTGCTCTGCACACGGGAGCTCCCATCGTCACCATCGCGGGTACCGGCCCCGCAGCCCAGTCACAGCGACGCTCCGACGGGGACGGGAGGCAGGGCTGCCCTGCCAGCTCTCGAGGGCAACGTGGCATCTGACCTGCAGCCCAGAGACAAGCAACTGGGCTTGGGAGAGGGGGCGGTGCGGCCACCGGAGCCGGACCCTGTTCCCCAGTCCCCTTGCTCCAGCTCGTCTCAGAGCCCAGCAGACCCCGGTCTTCCAAGGCAGCAGAGCGCATCCTACTCGCCTCTCCTGGGTTTAAACAGCTGCCCCTCTCTCCGAGGAGACGCGGCCAGGACTTTGGGGGGAGATGTCACGCTGCCTGCCCCTCCTCCAAGAGCACCACAGGCGACTTCCGGATTGTTCTTTGATTTTGCACTGCATAAGGCGGTGAGAAGACTAATTTACCCACAGCTTTTCTCACCTCCTTTTCCTAACGAAACGCTGACTGAGGACGGCAGGCCCCTGACAGACGCTCAGGGTGTGCACTGCACGCGGGCTCCAGGAGCCGGGGAGGCGACACCTTCTCAAACCGCCCCTGGAGAACCCTCGGTCGCATCCCCCCCACCTCGTGCCAAGGCCGGAGCCTGGCTGTCTCCCCACTCCCTGGACACTCACAAGGTGTCCACCGCCACGCTGGGGGGCTGCAGCCCCCGCCACCCACCCATCAAGGCATTGTCCCTCTGGCTCCCAGCCCAGCGTCCTCACATGCAGGTTGTCCCCAGAGCCAGGAGACTCGGGATCTCGTGCCTCCCTCATCCACCACAGGCTTAAAGCCAATCTCCACCCCTCCAACCTCAGCTGCATTTGTCGCCAGCTCAAAAAAAAATCTTTAGGAAAATCAGTTTGGCAGATCCTCAAAACGTTAAACACAGAATTACCATATGACCCAGCAGTTCCACTGGTAGGCTCCTACCCAAGAGAAATGAAAACAAGGACTCCAACAAACGTACGTGCGTGTTCAGAGCAGCATTTTTCACTACAGCCAAAAAGTGGAAACACCGACATGTCTGTCAACTGATGGAAGCTTAAACAGACTGTGGTCCATCCACACAGGAGAATATAACGCAGCCAGGAAAAGGAATGAAGCACTGACACCTGCTACAATGTGGATGGACCTTAAAAACACAATGCTGAGTGAGAGAAGCTGACACAAAAGGCCACATGTTGTATGATTCCGTTGATATGAAACGTCCAGAACAGGCAAATCCACAGAGACAGAGAGCAGACTGGTGGTTCCAGGGGGCGGGGATGGGCAATGACGGGAATGCTTTGAAACTAGATAAACGTAGTGCTTGCAGAGCATCGTGAGTGGAAACAAAAATTGAAGCTTTGACTTCAGCAGCAAGGTCTGGAGGTGAATGTCTAGGAAAACTATGACATGACTTCGTCAAAGACGGGGGTAGGAGAGGATGAGAGAGACCCCCGGGGCAACGGGAGGGTCTCCTGGATCTGGCCTTGGCTGGAAAGGGTTCTGAGAGCGGAACCCAGACTATTGTAGGAATGCAACACAGCGGCCTCGACATCACCGCAGGGTCTGGCTTTGGGGTCAGGACAGGGCAGTGGGCATCCGCTTATCTACAGACATTTGGGGTCCCCACTGCGAGCTGAGCCCCCAGCTAGCGAATGAGGCGGGGTCCAGGCCGTGGACGGTCTTGGGGCTCCAGGGGATGCGGCAGGGCAGACAAGAGGCGCCCAGGGCGACCCCAGCCCCGGGAGGGGGAGGCGGGTCAGGGAGCACTCCCCAGAGCGTGTGCAGAGCCAGTCAGGGACGGGGAGGGACGGCGCTCCGGGAGGTGAGACAGGGCACTGCCTGTGTGAGAAGGTCACTGAGCATGAGGCGGGCAGGGCAAGCCATCACTCGAGGCCCCGGGGCCATGAAGGACGGCTTCTGTTCTAAGGCCACGGGGAGCCACAGAAGGCTGCAGAGGAGAAGGGCAAAGAGTCATGGTGTTCCACGAGCAGACGCTGGAGCATGAGTGGGGCCGGGAGACCTGAGAGGCTACTGCAACCGTCCAAGCCAGAGCCAGCGCCGGCAGGACCGGGGCCACAGTGACACAGATGGAGAAGAGGCAGACGGCGTGACAGTCGGGACGGAGACCCTGCAGGCCTCAGAGACGGCTCGCGGCGGGGTGAGGGAGGCCAAGCAGCCCCCCAGGGATGGGGGCCCTTCACCCCCTTCCTCGGGCAAGGTGCCTCACGGCTCCGAGCCTCAGTTTCCTCAGCTGCGGACAGGGGGCCGGGGTGCTGGTGAAGCCCGGCTGCGGGGCCTGGTAAACAGCAGGTGCTCAATAAGCCCGGGCCCCGAGGAGAAGGGGCAGCGCCTCGGCGAGGTTAAGGACTGCTTAGCCGCGCGGCGTGGGACGCTTCTGAGCCCCAGACGGGGACACTGAGGCCCAGCCAGGCCTCGTACAACCAAGCCACGAACCACGACGCTGGGGCCACCGGGCCGGCCGGGGAGGGCCGCACACTCCAGCCCGGCCGTGGCAGGGGCTCCGGGCACAGTCCCCAGCCGGGGCTCCCCCTGCCTCACCTACCCCGGAGGGGGCCATGGCCAGGGCCACTCAGCTGCCCATGGGAGGGTCCACGGGAGCCCCCAGGGCGGCACCCCGCAATCCCACGCGCCCCACACTCCCTTGTGCCCATCCAGCAGGCGGCTCTGGCACAGCTTCCCGGCCGTGGCTCTGTGTCTGCCCTGCTGCCCGCTCACGCCAGGCATGTCCCAGCGGGCACACAGCCGGTACCCAATGAAGGAGCCCGTCCAGCGGAGGCAAGCACCAGTAGCACGAGGTGAGGCCGGAGCCCACCACACCTGCATCCGACCCCACCCCGATGGGCAGAGGCCTCCTTCCTGGGGTGGGGGCGCTGGAAGGTTCTGCGGGGCCTCCAGCCCCCACACTCCTCTCCAGCCCCAGGCAGGCCGGCTGAGGCCACACCATGACGTGTGCCACGGCTGTTCC